TATGCTGCAACTTACCCTGGTTGCCAGGGCGGCTGGGGGGCGGGGGAGGGGAAGGGGGTGCAGATACTGAAAAGGACCTTGTTGTCTGTTTTTCGAAGCCTCTGCAGAATCTTCCCATAATAGGGGAATGCTAGCTCTTCCTAGGTAGGGGTGAGCAACCGTTGCAGGCCCTGAAGTTTCAGAAAAGTCTGAGGAGTCAACACCTTTCGGGGCATCCACCCAGCTCTACTCATCGCGTGTCCAGGTTTTCCCAACCAGGACCCTGACCTTGGCATTGCAAAGCCACCTTGACTGAGATTCAAGGCAGTTCTATTTTTTATTTCCTGAGGAACCTTCATGCTGTTTTCCATAGTGCTTGCGTCTATTTATATGTCCACCCAAGAGCACAAGGGTACCCTTTTCTCTACATCTTCGCCAACTCTTGTTATTTCTTGTCTCTTTGATGGTAGCCATTCTAACGGGTGTGAGGTGATATCCCAGTGTGGTTTTTGATTTGCATTTCCCTGATGATTAGTGGTGTTGAGCATCTTTTCATGTGCTTGTTGGACATCTGTATGTCTTAGTCTTCCTTGGGAAAATGTCTATTCAATACTCTGCCCATTTTTTTTAATCGTCAAGTAGCTAACACACAGTGTAGTTTTGGCTTCAGGAGTAGATTCCCACAGTCTAATCATCACTTACATACAACACCCAGTGCTCATCCCAACAAGTGCCCTCCTCAATGCCCATCACCCATTTTTCCCACCCTCCCGACCCCCCATCCACATCAACCCTCAGTTTGTCTCTGTATTTAAGAATCTCTTATGGTTTGGCTCCCTCTCTGTCTGTATCTTAGTTTTCCTTCCCTTCCCCTGTGATCATCTGTTAAGTTTCTCAAATTCCACATGTGAGTGAAATCATATCTGTCTCTTCTGACTGACTTATTTCACTTAGCATAACACACTCCAGTTCCATCCATGTTGTTGCAAATGTACTCTGCCCATTTCTTAACTGGATTGGTTGGATATTTTGCTATTGAGTTGTATAAGTTCTTTATATATTTTGGACATTAACCCTTTACCAGATACATGATTTGCCAATATTGTCTCCCATTCTGTAGGCTGCCCTTTCGTTTTGTGGATGGTTCCCTTTGCTGTGCAGACGGGTTCTAGTGCGATGTGGTCCCGCTTGTTTATTTTTGCCTTTGTCGCCTTTGCTTTTAGTGTCAATACACGTAGTTTCAATTATTTGTGAACTGTCTCCAACTTCTTAGATCCCTGGACAGGGTGCCAGCTGGTCAGTAGCAGCCAGATGACTGTACCGTTCTTGCCTGCATCTCCTTCAGCCTCCCAAACACACATCCTTCTCAGTCACTATACCAACCACTCTTCTCCCAATTTATTACTGGTGAAAATTTTACCAATGGGCTGCCTCCTTTTTCAAAGCATCCACGTGCTACGCAGGCTGGGCTACTCATTACCAGCTGGGCGGTGAGTGATCTAGTTGTAAATCCCCGCCTTACCATCTACTTTCTCAGACCCTTGCTGCTACCAGCTGTTAATTTGGGTCCCCTAGTAAGCATCCCATGAGATGGCACTCAGAATGCAAGAGCTTCACTGGGCGCTCGTGGCTATGATAGGTTGGGAGTGGGAGCGGGGAGTGACATTGGGCCGAGGAAGCCCACAGACTGCAATACTGATCGGAAGCCTGTGAATGGAAAGTGGGAGGAAGTAGAATCGGGCAGGGAGAATCTGACTCTAATGCAAATCTAACAAAGTTTGGGCCAACCCAAAGGAAGGGGGTGGAGGAACGCTGGAGCAGAGATTGTCCATTAGAGGAGTCCTGGGTTGGTGGAAATGGTTCCCCTAGAGCCCGTGCCGTGCTCAGTCACCGACCAGAGACCACCCACAGAGAGAGAACTCAGTCCTGCACATGGAGGTAGGCGGCCAGCTGCACTCCTAGCAGCTAAATGCAAATCCTCTCTTGAAGGGAGATCGGAGTGGAGCTCCTCCGTGGCTGCTACGACAGAATAGTCGCTTAGTATCCCAGCATCTGTCAGAGATGATCAATGAGGATTTTATTTTTAAAATAAATAAAATAAATTTTTGCTGTGCTTCAATCTATCATATTTACCTTTTTTTTTTTTTTTTTTGATACTCAAATTGTCCTTCCTTCGGCCAGTGGGAGTGCCTCTGTCTAGAGAATCGTCTGACACAATGCTGGACTCATTGACAATTTCCTTGCTTTCTGTTGATAAGAAACTCCAGGATTCTCTTGTGTCTTTTCTTTTTCTTTTCTTTCTTTCTTTTTTTTTTTTTTTTAATATTTATTCAGTTAGTTTGAAGGAGAGTCAGCACCTGTGCAAGTGGGGGAGGGGCAGTCTGGAATCCCAAACCAGGCTCCACGCTGTCCGCACAGAGCCCAACACAGGGCTTGAACCCACAAACCAGGAGATCATGACCTGAGACAAAATCAAGAGTCAGATGCTTAACCAACTGAGTCTCTCAGGCGCCCCCATCAGGTATGCTTTCTGCCTCAGATCTGAAATCAGTCGTTTTTCTAAGAAGCTATGGGTTTGTTTCCATGGGAGACAGCACGCGGCGACAACAATCAGGTGCTGAGAGTGCTCGCTCTTCCCGAAATGGTGATTGTTTCTAGACCAGTGCAGCCAAGAACTTTCCATATCTGCGCTAATATGGCAGTGACTAGCCACACGGGGCTATTGAGAGCTTGAAATGTGGCCACTGCAACCGAGGAATGGAATTCTTAATGTTATTTAATTGAAATGTTTTTCTTACTGTAAAATATACGTGACATAAATGCTACCTTTGTAACCACTTTTAAGCGTACAGGTCACAACCTTGCGCACATTCACATTGTCTGTAACCATCACCACTGCCCATCGCCAAAACCCTTCCATTTTCCCCAACTGAAACTCTGTCCCATTAAACACTAACCCTCCATTTCACACCCACTCCCACCTCCTAGCAACCACCGTTCTACTTCCTGTCTCTACAAATTTGACTACTCCACGTACCTCATATAAGCGAAATCAAACAATATTTGTTCTTTTGTGTCTGGCTTTTTTCACTTAGCATAATGTCTTCAAAGTTTATCCATGTTGTTATGTGTCAGAATTTCTTTTCTTTCTATGGCTGAATAATATTCTATTATATCTATATATACATATCACATTTTGTTTTTCCATTTTTCCACTGATGGACATTTGGGTTGTTTCCACCTTTTGGCTATTATGAATAACGCTGCATAAACTGGTGTACATATATCTGTTCAAGTATTTAATTTTAATTAAAAAAATTCTTTAACATTTATTCATTTTTGAGAGACAGACTGGGGGTGGGGGGGTGGGAGAGGCGTGCGCACACATACACACGCACACAGAATCCAAAGCAGGCTCCGGGCTGGACACAGGGATCGAACTCACCAACTGTGAGATCATGACCTAAGCCAAAGTCAGATGCTTAACCGGCTGAGCCACCCAGACGCCCGTTTTTATTTTTCAATTTAAATAGCCACATGTGTCCAGTGGTTATCATATTGGACAGTTCTAGGCCTTTTCAGTGGATAGAACTAAGAAATACATTTTTAAAAGATTATATTGTCATATTAATATTTCCCATTCAAATCCAAGATTACAAGTTTTTAACTTATTTTGCATCTCTTCTCTCAAGCTAAAAGCATTGGCTCCTAATATTAACACACTACGTAATTGCTGTATCCCACTTTACACAATTCCAGAATAGCAACAGCGATATTATTATCAAGACCAGGATTAATGCAAACAATTCGAGATTTCTTTGCCGCTCTTTCCGCCCTTACAAAGTGTCAGGTTTTAATGTCACTTGAATTATTTTCTGTGTGGCTAAGCCCCCAACCTGACATACTGCTAGGATCATTTGTTTCATTTTGCTTCCAATTTTCAGGAATTGATTTATTTTTGGCTTTGTCAGTACACAGTTCCAGGGCCAAAGGGACAAGCACATGTGGAGAACTCGTTTCCACGCACACCTCACCTTCCTGACCCTGGTTGGTAACCGTTTGTACGTTACTTTTCAAGGTAGGAAAATGCCCATGTATATTCTTATTGCCTCTGCCCCTTCTTAGTAAAATACCATACACACCGTTCTGCGACTTTATTATTATTTTTCTTAACAATACGTCCCGAAGGTCACTCCGGGACAGAGCATGGAACAGTCAGAGCTGCTCCACTGCGCGGCTGCACAGCACCTTGACACCCTCTTCCCGGAGCCCCCACGGGTGCACACCGGGCGCTTTCCAGTGTTTTGCTATCCTTCCCTTCTGCAGTACAAAGTGCATTGATGGAAAGGCCCAGAGACGCAAAGCTGGGGAGAAAGCAGCTCCGCCACGTCGCCATGTGCGGGAGGGGAGTATAATTTCTGCTAGAGGAGCTACCGCGGGCTGGTGGGGTGACTTCGGCCCCCTCGGGTCCTGCACTCTGAGCGGGGAGAGGGCCTGGCCAGCCGGCGGGCAGGGGGCGGAGGGGCCTGCCGCCACCGCTGGCTTCCGCGTTCCCGCCTGTGCCGCGCTCCCTGCACGACTGGGTGGCTCTGGCGGGCTGCCTTCCCCGCACCAACCACAGGACTTCGGGGGCCCCGCTGTGGCCCGGGAGGCAGGGGTCACCGCCCGCACGCGGCCGGCCGGCCAGCCGCCCGCAAGTCTCTGCAAGGGCAAGGGTGCACGCACGCCCTCGGGCGCCCGGACGCCCCCTGCGTGGCCTGGCGTGGGGGGAGGGCCTTCGTCACACAACCCCCCCAGGCAGGGTGCCTGACGGGCCGGTTGCGGAGTAACGGCGACCCCGAGCCTCAGCGGGGGGCGAGGCGGGGCTCCGCGCGCGGCCTGCATCCCGGCCTCACTGCGCCTGCGCGGCGTGCGCCGGCCGCAACCATCGCCCGACGGGGGTGCGCGAGGCGCGCGAGCTCCCCCGCCGCGTGGGGCCGCCCGTTGCCGTGGAGCCGCCGCCGCGACGCCGACCGGCAGCCGCGGAGCCTGCGAGGAGCCGCCGTGCGCTCAGCCCCGACCCGCGGCGGGTCCGCAGAGAGGTGGGTCCGTCCGCCGCCGAGCCCCCCAGACGCGGCCCAGCGCCCCTCGCCGCCCTCGTCCTGCGGGCGGGCGCCTGCTGCGGCGGGTCTCGGGGTCCTGCTGCGGCGGGGGGCGCGTGCGGTCGCAGCGCCTCCGCCACCGAGCTGAGCGGGCCTTAGGCGGGGTGGGAGGGCCCGGCCGGTGGGCGTGGAGGGAGGGCGGCCTGCGGAGCCCCCAAGGCCTCCCGACTCGGTTCTGCAAAGGATAACCAGGTCTGGGAGGCGGGAGGGCCTCGGCTCCGGGGTCGTCCGCCAGCGGTTTGGGCTTGAGCGAGCCTTCCTTGGACGTGTGCAAAGACCGGGCGCTGAGCAGGTGCGGGGCAGGCGCGGACCCGGCGCTGTGCAGGTGAGAGCAGGTGAGGGGCAGGTGTGGGGCAGGAGAAGACCAGGCGCTGAGCAGGTGAGAGCAGGTGAGGGGCAGGTGAGGGGCAGGCGCGGACCCGGTGCTGTGCAGGTGAGAGCAGGTGGGGGGCAGGTGAGAGGCAGGCGCGGACCCGGCGCTGTGCAGGTGAGAGCAGGTGAAGGGCCGGTGAGGGGCAGGTGTGGGGCAGGCGAGGACCGGGCGCTGAGCAGGTGGGGGGCAGGTGAGGACCAGGTGCCGAGCAGGTGAGAGCAGGTGGGGAGCAGGTAGGGGGCAGGCGAGGACCAGGTGCTGAGCAGGTGAGAGCAGGTGAGGGGCAGTGGGGACGGGCGCTTATCAGGTGACGGGCACATGAGAGGTAGGTGAGGACCAGGTGCTGAGCAGGTGGGGAGCAGGTGCTGAGCAGGTGAGGGGCAGGCGAGGACCAGGTGCTGAGCTGGTGGGGAGCAGGTGAGGGGCAGGCGAGGCCCAGGTGCGGGGCAGGTGAGGGGCAGGTGAGGCCCGCATGCCATGCAGGTGAGGAGCAGGTGGGGACTGGGCACTTATCAGGTGAGGACCTGGCGCTGAGCCCCCGAGGAGCGGGGCCCTGTCCAGTCTGCAGCATCTTGAAGACTCCCACACACTCCCCGCGGGTAAGCCGAGCAGACACGCACGTGCACAGCGTACTGTTGGTTTTAAGGCGAACATCAGTAGCAACCCCCCCCCCCAAGTCCAGAAATAAAAGGCCATTAGCACCACATGAGTCAACCCACCCGTCCCCCACCTGGCAGACCTCTGCCCCCATGACCGTGGGCTGGTCTGTGAGTCCAGTTCCCTTGCTTTTCTCTAGGTGTACGACCTACGTGTGCATTCCTAAGCAGTGTAATTAAATTCCACCCGTTGTTAAAATTCATATAAATGGAATAATACAATATATATTTATTTTCAATTTTGGAACAACCCGAAGTTTACATAAAAGTTGCAAGTTTAGCGCCAACAATCTTCCTTTTCCTGAAGTATTTGAGGACATGCTTACACGATGCTGTATCACCGCTGTACTTTTGAGTATTTCTTACCTGCAAGGGAGTCCTCGGGCATAATGTCCACGTGACCATCGAGGTCAAGAGAATCCCATAGATGTGTCACTACTGCTGGTCCTCAGCCCAGTCAAGCACATTTTGACAGTTGATCCCATAAAGTCACAAAAGCAAAAGGATTCAGTCTGGGACGACGCATGGCACTTGGTTGCGTTAGTGCTTCCTCGGTGTCTTTCCGTCCACAGCCTTTCCTTGGCTCTGATGGCCCTGCCGCCTTTGACTGATGTTTCCTCAAGATTAGATTCGCATTATGCATCCTTGGCAGGAAAGTCACAGAATTTATGCACAACTTTCTTCCGCTCATTCCATCCTGTCAGGTGGCTCACGGTGGCCCATTTGTCACATCACAGATGATGTTTGCCTTGATCACTTCATTAAAGTGGTGTCTGCCAATGTCTCCGCTGGGAAGTTACTTTTTCCCTTTGTGGTTAGCACGTATTTGTGGGGAGACACTTTGAGGGTAGTGGCCGCGTCATCCCTCCCAGGCTTGAGCTGGGTGGCTCACAGTGGACGCCCACCTCCCCCCCTTGAGTCCTGATGCGCTTCACAGGGCTGCCTTCCTCCTACGCAGGCCCTGACCCCAGCTCTGAGCCGCTGCGGGTGCCGCTCTGCCCGCCCCACCTGGGGAACCCAGTCTGGAAGCGGAGGAGAGAAGTGTGTGAGCTTTGCACCTCCTTCCCCGCCCGTTGTGTGGAAGAGGAGCAGCCGCTTGGTGACTCGGTGCCAGCTCGTTCTTTGTGCCTGTTGAGCGCCCTGTAGGTGGGATCACGCCTTCGGTGTTTCCTGCTCCTGGTGGCCGTGGGGCTTTAGTCAGAGCTGCTGCTGTTCTCTGAGGTCCTGTTGTGTCTCCCGGTCGTTTAAGTCTCTCATGAGCTGAGTTGTGTTTCTTCAGGGGAAAAATCATAGGTTGAAGCCCTAACCCCTGGCATCTCAGAATGTGACCTCATTTGGAAATAGGGTCACTGGGGATGTAATTCACTAAGATGAGGTCCCACTGGAGGAGGATGGGCCCCTAATCCCATATGTCAGGTGTCTTTATGCAAAGGTATTTAAGGGGCACCTGGGGGGCTCAGTAGGTTGAGAGTCCAACTTTGGCTCAGGTCACAATCTCACGGTTTGAGTTTGAGCCCCGAGTCTGGTTCTGTGCTGACAGCTCAGAGCCTGGAGCTGCTTCAGATTCTGTGCCTCCCTCTCTCTCTGCCCCTCTCCCACTCACGCTCTGTTTCTCTCTCCTTCAAAAATAAATAAACATTAAAAAAAAAGAAAGAAAGGAGGTGCTTGAACGTAGGTGTGAACACAGCATCACCTGGAGGTGCCCTGCTGGAAGCCAGGGGGCGCTCGGACCCGGGGTTGGGGGGGAGGCTGGGGCGGGCCGCCCCAGCACTGCAGAGGGAACAAGGCCCTGCTGGCACCTTGACGTCAGATTCCTGGCCTCCGGAAGTGTGAGAGGATACACTTAGTCGGCAGAAACACCCAGTGTGTAGTGCTTTGCGGTGGCAGCCCCAGGACAGGGTTCGACGTCTCAGGGCTTCCGAAGGCCGCAAGCCTGGGAGAGGAACCGCTGCGTTAGAGGGAGTGGGGGGCAGCAGGGTGCCGCCCAGAGAGGCCCATGACCGAACCCTTGGAACTTGGGAATACGTTCGGTGCTGCGGCAGCGGAATGAAGGGTGTCCCCCAGGCGGTGGAGACCGGGAGATTGTCCTGATTAAACACACGCGCCCACTGCAGACACAGGCTCCTCAGAAGTGGGGCAGGGAGGCAGGAGAGCGTCAGGGGGGCCCCGGAGAAAGGGCGCACCGAGGCCGCCGGCTTTGAAGACGGTACAGTGGGGGCTTGGGCGCAGGAGTGTGCGTGACCTCTGGAAACCGGAATCTTCCCTGGAGCCTCGAAGGGAACACAGTCCCGCACACACCTCGACTTTCACCCAGCGAGACTCATTTCAGGATCTGACGGACAGAATCGTCAGGGAACAAATCCGTGAGGTCACTGGGTTTGGGGGAGGTTGTTACAATGGGAGAGCAACACGCGGGCGCGTGCTCGTTAACTTTGCGGGGTGACCCCAGACTCTCTGGGAAGTGACCGTCCCCACCCTCACTCCCGTGAAGCTCCCTGTGCACGGGCTCGTGACGTCTTACCAGGTGTGATGACTGTGTAATGATAGGAGGTTGTGGTTTTAACTTGCATTTTCCTAATTACAAATGAAGGTGGACAGTTTTTGGGAGGAGGGGGTTTCATTACCAAGAAATAGTTTAACTCTTAGCCAAGTCCTGCTTTGAATGATAAAGGGAAACACTCTTAATAATGCCAGGAAAACAGGCCTGAAGTGGGCACACGGCCGCCCTGGACACACGGCCGCCCCACTTCCTGGCCATTTGAATGTCCTCAACTGTGCAGTGCCTGCATGAGTCTTGCCATTGGCCCGGGCTGCCCACCTTCTTTACTGATTCGCAGGTAGTCCTTGCGTGGTCTTGATGGAGGACCTTTTGGGTCACACATTGAATTTATCTTCTGGCTTGTAACTCTTTCTCACTCTCCCAAGAGCATCATCTGAATGAAAGTTTTTCATTTAAGTGTACTTGACCATCTGCCAGCTTTTCCTCTCCTGGCTAATGACTTTGGCGTCCTGGGTAAGAAACTCTGGGGGCGCCTGGGGGGCTCAATCAGGTAAGCGTCCGACCTCGGCTCAGGTCACGATCTCGTGGTTTGTGGGTTCGAGCCCCACGTCGGGCTCTGTGCTGAGAGCTCAGAGCCTGGAGCCTGTTTCAGATTCTGTGTCTCCCTCTCTCTCTGCCCCTCCCCTGCTCATGCTCTGTTTCTCTCTCTCAAAACTAAACAAATTTAAAAAAGAAAGAAAGGAAAAAAGAAACCCAGGAGTCTCGAGGCCCCTAGTGCCCACCAGTCCCTGTGATCGGGTTTCATGCTGCCCGTGTGAGTCTTTAACCCGCACAGAGCTGAGTCCAGGACGAAGGCCTAGTTCTCAGCGCCGACCCTGCTGTCCTTCCTCGGGCGCGGCTGGACTGGGGCACGGGTTTTAGGGAGTTTGTCGAGCAATTTGCAGAGAACTGGCATCTTGATTAAGACTGAGTCCCCCGTACTTGAACATTTATTTATTTACGTTGGCTGTATTCTGTTTTTGCACTTCAGTGTGGGAAAGCTGCAAACTGAGAAAGGTAGAGGAGGTGGTGAGGAGAACTCACGCCCCCCCCCCCCCATTCCTGCCACGGCTTCGCTCCCTTGCGGGGTTGCTTGTTAGAGAAAACCCCAGGTGTAATGTTTCACCCATAAATACCTCACACTCCTCCAACACCAAAAGGCTCACTTCTGGCACAGCTGCAAAGTCAGTATCAACCCCAACAAAATTAACGTGAATTTCTTAGTAAAATCTAAGGCTGATTTGTGTTCAGATTCCCACAGGATCTTTTACAGTTGCTTCCTTGAATCAGGATCCAAACAGGACGCCCATACCGATGAGGTGGACTTACTTGTGTCTTACGGAACTTCTCATATACAAAGGCCTGCCTTCCC